CCTGTTCGAACTTGTTAATTAAAATGAACGAATCTTTTTCCGAGTCAATTCGTTTGTTTCGTTCATTAAATGAACTAAATGACTCGGACACAAACGCACGTCACAGAACAGCAAGGCGAGCATTTGAGCTTATAAAACTTAAACTTGGTTATTTATTTATTAAATGAGCGATCGTTTCGCTTGATAAGACCCTTATTCATTGTCTGGAATCGTTTAAAGCCCTTTGAACAGTTTGCAGTTTGTATTGAAAGTGTCTTTTGGACCTTGAACCATTTGGTTACCAGTAAAGTGCATTATATGGAGAAAAATCCTGGAATGTTTTCATCAAAAACCTTAATTTCTTTTCGACTGAAGAAAGAATGACATAGACATCTTGGATGACATGGGGGTGAGTAAATCATCAGCAAGTTTTTTTTTTTCAAAAGTGAACTACTCCTTTGAAGGGATACTCCACTTTTTTTGGAAATATGCTCATTTTACAACTCACCCAAAGTTACCGTTTTCAAACCCATTCAGCCGATTTTCAGATATCTAGAAGACTATCAGTAACCAGACAATTTCTGGTCTCATTGACTACCACAGTATATATTTTTTCCTACTATGGTTGTCAATGAGACCAGAAACTGTCTGGTTACTTAGTCTTCAAAATATCTGAAAATGGGCTGAATGGATTCGAAAACGGTAAAACTCAACTTCGGGGGAGTTGTAAAATCAGCCTATTTCAAAAAAAAAAAGTGGATTATCCCTTTATGTCTTGTAAATTTGGTTTACTCGAGTTGCTGGGTTATTGGTTTACATATAAACTCAATGCTTCTGTTGTGTTATCTTGTCTTCTTTTAATTGCTTAAACCATCTTAAAACCTTATTGACCTTTCATCTCTGATGTAGTTTATTCTAGTGATCACTTTTTCTTGTTTGCACATTTGTTAATGAGCATCTGTTTATGTTCATTATTACTTGTGCTTTTTCTTTTTGTGTTTCTGCATCTCATCAATTTCACCTTTTAAACCATAACCATTCTCCTCTTCGTCTTGCCACATTCCGTAATCCTCTCCAGAGAGTGCGGCACTTCAACACCCACTCACTGCCCTCAAACTGCCTCCATTTTAGTAGCATAGTTCCGTTAGAGGGCTTTAATTTAGCCTACGCAATTGTGGACTTACGCAATGATTCTTATTTTTAATGTAATAACCTTGTTATGTTTTGTACTAAGATTAATTTGGAACTGTCGGAGTTAGTTTTCTGCTAATGTTCACCTGAGGGGGAAATATGACTGAAAACATCACCTTGGGCAGCAAGGTATGATGACACCAATAACTGTAAACCGTGTAGCTGTCACAATGACTGGCAGTGAAACTGCTGCACCCTTCATACAATGTTTATAAATTGGTGAAATTTAAGATATGCCTACACTGTAAAAAAAAATTGAATTTTTTTTTTTTTGAAAAAGTAAGTAACCTGGTTGCCTTAAAATTTTAAGTTGTTTGAACTGGAAAAAGTGAGTTAATACAATGAAGGAGATTGATTTAATCACCAGAAACTCAAAGTAATAAGTTATCTCAACTAAATAAATTATTTAAGTTGATTTGACAAAAGAAAAAATGTTGTGATAACAAATCTTGAAAATCTTTTTTTTACAATGTATATATAAATTTAAGATATGCCTATGGGCAAACTTGATTCAACACTCAAATGCAGCAAGCTGTAAGTGTCAATTGCAAGAAACAATTTTATCAATATTATTTTGAATACCCAGGATTAATATCAACTCACTAAACTGCGAAAATTAACTAAAAGCAACACAGTAACATTTAGAACAGGTAGAAAATGTTTAATTCATTAAAAAATGAGTGTAATATCAGAGGTTTTAATACTTTGTTGTCAAATAAATATCAGTGTTTCCCCTACCATTGTTTTGGGGGGCGGCCCGCTGTTTTTTGGCCTACATGAACTTCCTCTCCAGGCTCTAGCTCTACTATGAAAGTCGATTTTAACCGCTTTATTTGAGAAAAACTATCATCATGACATAAACACACAGAAACTCAAAAGGTCTTCACGGCAACCCATCAAAATAAAATTTCGGTTTAACTTGACAGAAATATATAACAGTTGTACAGTAGAATTTAGATATGTCGGAATGTAATAATATACTAACACTAATCCAAATAAATGTAAGGATTTATTTTTAAGGAATAATTTTAACAGTAAAGCTCTTTTTGTAGCACATTATTTGACAAAAAGTTTACAGATTTGAATCAATTTTAAATTTAATCAATCTGATTCTTTAAGATTATGTCTCTCACAGTGGACATGCACCTACGATGACAATGTGGGAGAACTTGCAAAATAGCAGGGTGTTAAAATACTTATTTTCCTCACTGTAGTAGTGGCATATTTACAGGTGTTTTAGGCCTCTATAAGTACTATTCCCAATAGACAAAATCAAGTCACACTCTATTTTTCTTGTTCGAGAAGCCATGCTTGAATCTGTCAAGTTTGGTAATGCATGTCTTCACTGTGTGCAACAGAGATTGTTATTGTTAAGTGCATTTCTCCAATTTTATCATACACTGACTGGTGACTACATCTATAAATGTTTAATACGGTCAGACACTTTGTATATAAATATTGTCAATCAGAGATCTCCACTGCTATTTTTTTTTATCCCTGCACAGAGGTTAAGCTTTCTTAAAGTGGGTGTAATCCTGTTAGTCATGAGAATATCCTAAAGGTTATTAGTACATGACATGTCCCTTAAGACATAAAATGCCAAACAATTGTGACTAAAATATCTAGCCTGGCTATTTTTTTCTGTAACTTTGCAACACAAGCACCCAAACTCACACACATTTGTTTTTCTGTCATTGTGGGGGCAGAAAATGGACTTATATTGTTTTTATTCTGAACTAATGATAATCGGGGGAGACCAGGGATGGTAGTAACACTTTTTGTTTGAGTATCAGTAAACTCAAAATTTTGATACATGGTAATAAAACTCACTTGAATGTACTACATAATCACAGATAATGTGAGTTAATGTCAAATGCAAAGAGTTCTGTTGTTACAACCTACCCCACTATTTGGGTGAGTTGGGGATAGATGTAACAAGAACTTTATTGAAGAACAAAGAGTACTTTTGAATGGAGCGATAAAATGACAAAAAATAAATTTGTAAGCTATATCCTTCAGAACTCTAGTCGTGTGTTTGTGTGAGTATTCATGTAGTGTACTATATTCCAGTCACTAATTTTGCTGCTATCAACCTATTTTTATGTGAATTTTATTAAAAACACAAACGAAATGAAAACAATGAAATGAAAACATATTTACCAAATAAATCTTTAGATGAGCAACACACACACACATTTTCTAAGCTATGCAAATTTTGTTTCCAATTAAGGACATAAAGGGAGTTTGTGTCACATTTACACCACTTTGAGAGACAATTTTATCCTCAAACTATAGCAAAGTTTCCACACACACACAATTAGTTGGATGCACACAACCCGCTTTAAGCAATTATTTACTGTATATAATAAACAATGCCTTTAGAAGTCTTAATAGACTAATAAAGTACAAAGTACTACTGGGTCTCAAAGGCAAAGCACTACATTTGAAAACAGTATAAAATGGCAAATATTTAATTTCTTTTGACCAAAAACTTGTGACTGTGCCATAACAGAGGATGTGATTGATGACTGGACTCACTGGAATCATTATAAGGGGTTGGTTGTAACATTTTTAACCAACTCGTATAACTATCCGCACCCCAAACAGCCATAACTTTTTAATATGTGTGTTTGAAGTAAGCATGAATGCAGAGCATCAAATTAAACATGAAACAGGTTATCTAAGTCAAATAATTTTTAGAAAACAATGATGGTAAGCAACAAATGATTAAAAAAATTCTACTTTCCTTTCTGAAAATCTGTTGTTTTTTTTACAATCTATATGTTGGTCACAGTCACATGCATTTCTCTCGTGAGCACAAAAAGGTGATGGGAGTGTATGATACTGATGACTTTTCTGACTTGTTAAACTGACAGTGTTACAACTGACTGTGTTAACACTCCTCGGTCTCCCCTATCCATCTCCTAACTCTAAACCAAAACCTCACAGAAAAAGTTCTGAACTTTTACATTTTCATTAAGACATTGTTTGCTGTTCATTAAGTAGTTTTCCTCAATGAGAGTGTTAGATAGTCCCCACAATGTGGCTGAATTCATCTTTTACTATGACAAACACACACACTTTCTTAGCAATGTATATTTTTTCCCAATTAAGGCGAAGGGAGGTTGTCACATTTACCTGACATTGGGGACAATTTTAATTTGGCTATGTACGGACACCCACACCCACACACACAGCGCAATAGTTTGGATACACACAAACTGCTTAAAATAATTATACATATAAACAATACCTTTAGAAGTTTCAATAGACATAACAAAGTGCAAAGTAGGCTACTCATGGGAACTACTGGGCCTCAAAGAAGGTAATGCACCACATTTGAATACAGTATGAAATGGTAAAAAAAATATCAATGTTCTTATACACACTGACATGTCAATACTCTGTTAGACTCTTGGCTGCTTTATGCAAAAGAATAAAATACATGCATTTTAATTTGCCAAACATATCATTTTCTATTTTGTGAGATATCCAAGTATAAAGTTAATTGTATTCATCGTTCAATTCAAAGTGGCTGAAACAGTGCAATGAACTACAGGTATATTGAAATTAATTAAAGATTTAGTGCAACTAAGTTTTGAAGTAGTGGGTAGAAATAGTCTACAGTTCGAGCATCAAATCTTAGAAAATCAAGGACAATAACAACTCATTTTGACGCTATACCTATTAGCACATGAGTTATTTCTTTCTATAAATATTAAATCGATAAAAATGAACGGACATGCAAAACACTTGACAGTGCGGCTGCTCTTTCCACTCAGGGCACAGGAACATAACAGCATGATAAATGCATAACCATCAACGCCTACCTGAGGAAGAGCGTCTCTCCTTGTCTGATGGTGATATTCTCCATCTGTTTGTTATCGGATTGGGATTCTCCTTGACTGCGGACAGGCAGACCTGCGGGGAGAAGGAACAGCAGTCTGAGACTCATCACCACACACCTCCTCCAGGACGCCGCGCATCCTCCACACACAACCATCTTCATCTGCGGAGTTTTCGGAGTGTAAATCCGTTCACGCTCGTCCAAAAAGAGAAACGCGTTAGTTTGCCATTACAGTTTATCTGTTAATCCAGATTTCCTCCCCAGGTAGACAACAAAATCCTTCGCGTACTTAGTACAGAGACGCTTATCGATGACCGCGCCGTGCCGTCGCCATGGAAAAGGGGGGTAAAATATAACAACGTATGAATGAAATGTATACACTTTAGTGGTGACCTCAATCGTTCTGGTTTCTTAAATCCTATTGCCTTTAATATCCGCAGTGAAAATCCATCTTTTTCCCTGAGCTGATACGCTGTCTCAAACTTTAAGAAGTGGAAGCTGGAGAGCTGAGAGCGAGTGAACGTGCCGAAATGTCACTCGAGCCAGGGACGTAGCAACCGGGGGGGACACGTCCCCCGCACTTTTAGAAACAGGTGATTCTGTACCCCGCATTTATTTATTTGTTTATTTATTTTGACCCAGCGCCACTATTTCCGCCCGTGTTCTCTGATTTGTTATTTTGACTTGAGTGAACTAACATTCAGCCAATAGTGTTTAGCAACTTTTAAGACTACCCTAGAATATTTATTTCCAACAAGCACCTAGCAACAAATTTAGCTATTTTTAAAATGTATTTGGCAACTTTTGGAAAGTGACTCTAATCCCAAGAAACACACAGACAAGGGCGTGGTGCTGCTACCTGTCAGGGCACCAAAACTTCCAATAGAAAATTCAACTGCAGTAGCCACCATTTAACATGAAGAGGGCAGCACTCAGAACTCAGACGTTTTTACACCATATTGTAGAATTAAAACAATTTATACCCAAATGTCAAAAAATTACTTGAATAAATGAACAGCGTTATAAAGCCCCAGTCTTAGATCCAGGGCCTGAAATTAACATCTGACCACCTGCCAAATGCGGGTGAATTTTGCTATTGGCAGGTAACACTATCAATCTACCTGCCACATTGGCAAGTGAGAATTGAGTGATTCATTAGGATTTTTATATTTCAACGAAGTCTGCCATTGCGTTGGACTTTAGCTAAAATGTGGCAGCACATTACATAGGCTACTGACGTACGTGCAACTGTGGATGTTGGGAGTTGATAACCGGTGAGAAAATGTCCGGTACCCGGTAACTCTACTAGTAATAAAAATATTAATTTAGTTCATAGTTAACGGTTCCTGAACGCTGTAACTAAAAGCTGTTAAGACCCGTCTACGTGACTGTGGCGGATGTTGGGTCAGGTCAGTTTAAGTTTTTTAAAAAAAAATTTGTTTACAGGAAAGAATACACAACAACATTATTTTGGTTTAATAAACTTTATTTAAACTTTCGTTTGGAGTTAAGTGCGCACACTCTTTAACTTTTAGTTTAAGTTTATTCTTACCGTTCTTTTTGTTTGTTTGTTTGTTTGTTTGATACGTCTGAGTCCCTGGTGCACCATCAAAAGGGGTTCGAGGTGAAACATTGGACGTATTTATATGGTTCCGGCCGATGATCGGGCCACAACCATTCCGGTTTATTCTCCGGGAGAACTCCAAGGACTATTTTGCTTGCTTTTCTTTTGTTTGTTAACAAGAAGTATATTTATTAAGTGAAGTCATTTGATAGTATTATTTGAGGTGTTTGTTTATGTATATTGGGTGTTTTCATATTTGTTTATTGCAGGGCCAGCCCGAGGCATAAGCGATTTTTTTTTTTAGATGAGTTAAACAACAAGTGACATAAATCAGTGAATGAATGAATATGACTTAATGAATAATTCACGACAACAAAATTCTGATTTAATGATCAATATACCTGCCTTTACAACTGCTGCTGTGTCTGCCAGCGTTTCAGTCATGCACATAATCTTGGGTTTAGCTTATTTAATTAAACATAACAGTATCAATAAGTAAGCTAAAGTAAACCAAAAAAGTGCTGCATTTACTTGCAATGTGGTACCCAACAGTATGCAGACCATAATAAATAACTTATTTACAGCTACAAATGTATGAATTATACAATATCATGGCTATTAGTAAGAATTATTTTATTAATAATTATTATAGGCTTAAATTAAAATATCCTGACAGTGAGACCTAACCATAAAAACACCTAAAAACCAAAACCATAAAAAAAATCCTTAAACAGGTAAAAACTATACACACAATGAATTATATATTACTCTACCCCCTAATAAATCTAATGCAATATAAATGACTATAACTGTGACAAAGTCCTAAGTTACCCTTGATGGCAGTGTATGCCCTGTGTCTGTTTGCTTTATATTCTTTTTTATAAATGTTTGTTTCTCATTATTTGGTGACTTTTTCTAGTCTGAGGTGCACATTAGACTGATAAAAAAACACATATTATTTCTTTCATTTTGATATTTACATCAATCATTAGTTTTATCCTCATTTGCAAAACTAACCTTCTGGGTTCATGACTGCAGCATGGTTTCCGGGGGTGGGTGTTTAAGAGGACGCGCGGCCTTCCTGTTCCTCATTTTATTCCATCCCAAAGAATTCTGGGTAATGTAGGCATAGTCCATTGTTTCACGTTTTATTGTGTTTATGTTCATTGTATGTAGAAATGTATTGTTTATTATTCATATTATTTTCCTTGTATAATTAAGGTTGATGTATTTTGAATATTATTTTCATTTTAAATGTAGTTATGTATTATGTGTGAACATTATTTAATTTCCCTACTGTAAAATGGTTGACCCTTTCAGTATAAAGGAATGTATGTTTGTGAAAGCAGTTCTGGTGAGGAGGGTCACCTTGAGTGAGATTGTTTATGTTATTTATTTATTTGACATTCTTTATTTGGAAGTCAATAAAGATTTCACTGACTGCAAGCAGTGTCTCCTGCCTTTGCTCTCATGTCTTCACAATAACGTATATTCAATATAAATATTCCACATTTCTGCCCAAACCATGGTAAATTATTACATTCATGGTAAATGTTTGTAAGGGTGATGATTAGGGGATTTATAGTCTTCTAACTTTGTCCATGTTTCTGCTATTTACCTCATCATTGGGAATTTTAAAGATGAACTGCACTTTTCTGCAAGGACAAATTTGGGCCACAACACCATACAGGTTTTGGTATACACCATACAGTATGAGTATACAGTCTTCTAAAAAAAAAATAAAAAAAAATAAAAAAAACAATAAAAGTCTTTCGCTAGTCTAGTAGGACCGTTGCTCGGTTTTCTCACGTACAAATTGGAAAAAGCGTGCGCTGTTGTCATAGTCACGGCTGCGTCCTCACAGGGGCCATTCAGTAGCCTAGTAGGCTACAGCGCAAAACACAGCGCACAAATCAGAGGCTATTGTGTGCAGTAATACAATGTAGGTGCGACATTCATTGATTGCACCCTCTGCCATTCAGCAACAGCCTTAAAGAAGCTCTCTCGAAAAAGAAAATTGAGCCTTCATGTACAAATCACAAACCAAATAACCGATATTTTGAGAACTGAATGGAATGTCTAGACAGAAAATGACAGGAAAATGTACAAAATCAAGAGTGTCACGAACACACATATAGCCTATACGTGATGTCTCGGCGAAATCTTTTTTTTTTAACATTAATTAGCAATCCAACATTCGAGTGTAAATGAAAGCTATACATTTTTTTTAACGTTTATTAGACTTTTAATTTAAGTGACCTCAAATCAATCCTCGCATAAACCCATAATAAACCTCATATTTACCTGTGTCATATGTGAAATTGATCAACGTTATCAAACAGTCTTCACTGCATGGATTATAAATTAAAGGTTACCAGGAAAAAGGTTCTATACGGTTCATTACCATTTGTTTTATCCTTTTCGAATTAAATATTTCATATTATTGACAAACATCAAGACCCTATGATCACAAAATTCAAGATATGGGGTTAGAAAATGTATATATTTCTATCATTTTATGTAGTTAATCAATATCACACGAAGATTGCCAGTTTTTCTCTTCCAAAAATCAGCATGATTAAAATGTGACATTAAGTAACTACAACAGTTTAATAAACAATAATTTAATTACAACTACAAAATGTTGCAGAATAATGTCATATATGAATAAATAATAGCCTATAAAGAACCTTTATGTCAAAAGGGTTCTTTCTTGTCATTATAGAATTCTTTGGAGTTGAGTAAAGAACCCTATGCTTCATATATAGAACCCTTTTTTAAAAGTGATGACACACATCCTATTTATGTGCATTTAACACTTTAACGACATTCGACAAAACAGTTTTGTTTTTGTCCGTAAGATAACTAAATGCGGCACTGGCGTGTTTCGCTGTTTAAGCCGCTTCACAAACTGTTAATTTTGTTCAACATGTTAAACTAAAATATATTTTATATGCGTTAATTTCGACAGCCATACTTGATTTCTGCCACAACATTTGAACTGAAAACCCTTTTTACCTATCATCGCACAACTTAATTTTCTAAAATATAAATCATTTTTTGGAAGTTGGCTTGTCAACCATTTGAATAGACATAATTCTGCACAAAATTAAATGTCCAATATGCATTTCAGACACTAGCTGCTACCACCTTCATGCCTTGCTACCATAAATAATCTATTCACAACGGTGCTCATTTGATAACAAGCCTTACCTCCTGAAGGGCAAAAACGTCCAGGGTATTTTAAAGAGGAGCAATTCAAGAAACACAACATGTTACCCTGTCAGACAGACAGACCCTTACTGCCAAATATCTGCCAAAAAGTGGCAACGAGTCCTCATAGATCCCTCACACATTCAACACAAGACAGTGGCCTAAAAAACTGCATGCTAGAACTTTAGTTGTGGGTTTCTGGGCAGAAATGAGGGCATTCAAAGATGAAAATATATTTCCCTGTCATATAAATAATGAGTGAAGCAGTGTGTTATAAAGCCCTCATACACAGGGCATTTGTGGATGACTCATTTTTCTGCAGTGCTATAAGGATTGAGTCATGAAGTAAAAGCAAGAACTGTCATGTACTGTATCACCTTTCAATAGATTATGCACTATATATGCAACTTACCTATTTAAATGTTTCTTTTGTTTATTATTTATCGATGGCCTTACATGCTGATTGGCTGGCTGAATGAATTAGCAAGTAGACTGACTGAATCTGAATGTAAGCATTAGTATGTATCTGACAGACTCCTTGGCTGGTTCTACACCCGGCGCTCCAGAAAGGTTTAAGTTGGCCCAGGGG